GTGAACCCCTTTGGGATTATAGAAATATCCATCTTTATTCTAGATCTAAATTTATCTATATTCCAATAAGCCAAATCAAACATTGTGAGCGGCAAATCAAATTGTAAAGAATCATTCCGATTTCGGTTTCTGGCCACATTTGCATACAAATGCAGGCAGGATTAAAATCAGAATTCGATATGCCACAAGCCACACACACAAAAGCAGGCACACCCGCTCCAAGGATTTTCCCGAACAATATTTTACTGCTCAAGACATTCCGGCATTGTTGTAGGGAAAGCTCAGGAGAGAGAGAAAGGAAAAGGGAAAGCAGAAATGGAACAACTTACCCAACTTCTTCAATTACAATTTGATTTGCAAATGACACACAGAGCAACAAGAAATTGAAGTGGAAAACTTTCTTGAGGAGGCGAAATGTGACAAGTCGGGTTAAAAAAAGTTAAAACCCAAGGCGGGCCAAGTGGAATTAAATGTTTGTTAAAGGTTTCAACTGATTAAAAATGATGGAAGGCACTCCTAGAAAGTTTATGGATTTTAAGCAGGAAAAGTAAAGGTGGGTGAGGAAAAGATTAAATAGGAAAAATAGGAAATACAGTGGATAATTTTTAATATTTTAAAAAATTATATATAAAATTTCATTGATAATTTTATGTATTTTATTATGTTTAATCCCTAACTTCTTGGAATAAATAGAACTCTCTTAAAAATCATTATTCAAAAGTTGTTATTTATAGTTTCCTTTCAAGAATTACTTTACTTTTTAGGTATTTAAATATTTTAAAAATATATTTTCTTAAATATATTTTTAAAATATTTAAATACCTAAAAAGTAAAGTAAAGTATATTTTCTTAAATATACTTTTCCTAAAAATCTGTAACCTATACTTCCTGCTCTAGGAAGCCTCCAAACAACTCTTCTGGCAATTGAATCCTGCAACTGTAAGCCTGGAATTTTTTCATAACGCCTGGCAATAAAATGTAGCCAACATTAAAAGGGCGGGTGAACATAAATAAAGAAATCGCTGAGTAAAAAATTGGGTTAAAAATTAACTACACCAAATTTAAATCAACCGATGGGGAAGAGAGTAAAGGGAGAACGGGAAGCATGCTGTTGGTTGTTGCCTGTCAGCGAATCCTTCGAAGCCTGCGGGAGCCGTAAAAAATCGACTCGCTGGGCAGGCAGGACTTTGCCTGGCAGCCCCAATTCCTGCCTGGCAGCCGTAAATAAAGCGCCGCAAACATTAATAACTCCCATTGGGTGTGTTAACAAGCAATGACCAAAGAGGGCCGCAGGACTGGGATTTCGAATACGTCCTTCGTTCGCCGTCCATAGCCCTTCCATCTACCCTTCCTCTGGACCCCTGCACCTGCCCCTGCCAATGTGCATAAATTGCAGTAAAAATGGCGCAAAAATTTTACATTTTGTGGCTGTTGTGAAAAACGATGTGCAGCCAAAAAGTCCAGAGCGAAAGCGAGCGAAAATAAGTAACAAGTAACTGAGAAGCAGGCTAAAGAAGAGGCAGACAGGTAAAAAATTGCGCATACGCCAGGTGGGCCCACCGCCACCCCACGTAAAATGTTTGAGTGATGGAGGAGCAGCAGGACGTCGTCCCGGAAAGAGGGTAATGCATGTAAGACAATCATTTTGACAGGCACTTCGCTGTGCTTACTCCGCATTCGTCCTGCGTCCTGCGTCCCGCTCCTCCACTGAAATCCGCCTCTGGCTTCGTGTTACTCATTGGCCCGTCGCTCGCCTGGCTGCCTCCTGATTACTATGCACTTTGATACTTATCTTTAATTGAGGTAGCCTGGCTGCAAGGACCTAAAGGAATACAAAAGCCGCCCGTGTCTGACATGCCACGATGAGCACACTTTTCATACGCTCTGTCTGCCAGGACAAAATGCGGGGTTTGAGGGTGTGGAAAAAGTGATAAGGAAAGTCTTTCAGATTTCGTTGCGGTGTGCAAATAATTCATTTCGATAAGGAACATATTTTACGGGGGTAAAAAAAAGGTGTTTTATTAATAATATTATATTATTTTGAGAGTTGTAAAGGGAAATTTGTATCCTGGAATTTTATAGAATAATTTATGTCACAAATTAATTACTTGTAGTGACATATAGCTCGTGTAGAACCCTCATAAATAAACCACAATCAACCAAAATTCCCCTTCCAAACAGATAAACAAACTTTATGTAATTTACCAACGAATATATGCAGAGTCTCCCCCTGCATATATTCCATATTTAACCGCAGCAGTTGAACTTTGTTTCAATTAATCGTTAACCCTTCCGGCAGCCAGTAGCCGGGGTTCATGGCTCTTGGTTCGGTTCCGACGTTTGCTGCTGCTGCGGTTGCCCACTGCCAGCTTTATAAATATTTAAGGCCATTAAACAGACACAGGGCGGCACACACACACACACATACATTGCATACATTGTGTGTGTACACACACACATCTACAAGAGTAATCCCTTGCACATGGCCAGGACTAAGCGTTTTATGGCTCTGCGCCATTGTTGTAGTTGCGGTCCAAGACCAAGTCACTGGCTCCAGCTCCCCTCAATTGTAATCGTTATCGTAATCGTAATCGTAATCGTTATCGTGTGTACCTGGACCTGCAATTGTTTTCCCGTTACCCGGCGACGATGTCTGCGGCGGATGCCAAGGCTAATTTTGCGTAAAATGAGAGAGCCGCTCGAATGATTCATTATGGGGCCCAGGGGACTCGTTGCATGTGCATGTATGCAAATGAACAGGACTAAAGGGGGAGGGAGGGAGAACAGTTGGTCCTAAAGGACCTTCCGGCGAACAGGACACCCACCTAGAGCGAATCAATCATAGATTGTCAACGACCCACCCGGCGAATACGTGATATTTCCATGCTCCCCTGCGCGTAGCCACTAATTGATTTATTGCCCGAAATTAATTCTATCGCAAAGCATTAATATTTATTGCACAAGTTCCGATTTTGGTTACAGATTGCGCAGGGGAGAGGATATACCTTGCCTTGACCTTTTGCCATGATTTTTGTTGTCATGATTTCTGTCATGAATAATTTGCATTTTTGGATTTGCCCGCAGCCTTTCAGCGCCCGCCTCTTAAATTGCTGCCATGAATAAATGAGTTGCTCAAGCGGGCCGAAGCACAAAAGCTTGGCTAACGAGTCCGTACAAACAATCTCTCAGTGAGGGTGGTGGTCGGTGTGTCCCTCGCCTGCTATTTGCTGTTTTATAAAAGCAATACGCATATGCGCCCGGCATGCCAATGCAGCTCTGGTATTTGCATTCACTCTCCTGCAGTGTTTGCCTCGTGAAGAGTGAAGGAGGGGGAGCGGGTTTCCCTGCTGTTTTTTCCTTCCTCCGGACAGGCAGCTTGCCTTCGGAAAACCCTGAAAGGCGCTTGTAGAGCTTCTGGCTGGCCGGCAGCTCTTTAAGTTTTGCGGTCTGGTCTGTTCCTGGCTTCTGGTAACTGGTTACTGGGAAAAGTCTTGGCTAAACGACAACCGGCCAGATGCCTGGCAAACAGACCGAAATTCGACATACACAGAGAAAGAAAATGTGGTAATTACTTTAATTGAAATAATATTAAATTAATAAAGAAATATTCTTAAAGGAAACTGTGTGTTTAAAAATTCCCTTTGAAATTATTAATTTAATATTTAATATTTACAACATATCATAAATAAAAACTCTCCAAAAGGACCTTTAAAATATCCACAAAAAATCAATAACTCACAATTTAATCAAAAAAGCTTCCTCTTCTCTTTTTACTCAATAAACATTTCCCGAGTGCATCTTCTCGAAATGAGCATTGACTGATGCCATTACAGGTGGCCATTGAATGCATTTTCCAACCAAAGGCATTTCCTTCACAACCAGCCTCGAATTTCCCTCTTTCAGCTTTCGGTTTGTGGCTGAATTCCATTTCGGTGGCTGTGCTGCGGCAAATACTTGACTCAATTACCAGGGAAATGCTTTCTTATTCCACCTGGAATTTTTCCTTTTTTTTTGCATATATCGAGAGTGTATACTTGTAAATATATATACTCAGGGGAATTGGCCAATTCTTTCATAATTTGTAGTGATTTTTCATTGGCGTTCTGGAATTTTATTTAACTTTTTACTCTGTGAAAAATATCCACGGACCAAGGGGACCCACGCAACCCATTTCATTTCGTAAATGGCAAAGTTTATGAGCTGCGCCATTTGGGAGTCAGTTTAGATTGTTATTTGTTTGTTTTGTTTGCCTTTGTTTTGCCCTTCTCTTTCCTAGATTCCTTTTAGGCGGAAATGAAATTTTTGCAGTTTTACAGTTTTACAATTTTACAATTTTCCCATAGCTAAAAAGGGTTCCTAAAAAAACAGGGGTTTGAGTGGGGGCTATAAAAGCTTTTCCGCTTTTGCTGACGACGAAGTCATAGAAAGTCGTTGGCGTCGCGTCGAGTAATTAGAAAATTAACCCCAGCCAGCCGGCCATAAATGAGAATGAAACACAACAACCGTGTTTTCGCAATGCGAACTAAACTCTAAACTAAACAGGAAAAAATAAAATGAAACAAAACAAAACAACAACAAAAAAATGGCAACTGGCACTCCACATGGTCGGCACTCGCAGAGTCAGCCAGGCGAAGGCCACTTAAGTGACTCTTTTTGGGCGGGGAAAAGCGTGAAACGGAGAACCCTGCCACAAAAACGAGGGTATCAACCTTAGTGGGGGGTTGTGTCATCGCTTTAATTAAAGTGTACACATGTCAGGGTGCAGTTTTGTAGCAATTTTATTTTTTCCTGAATTTTTATTTGCCCCAAAAACCAAACCCAAAAAAAATGGGGAGGCGTGTCCTTGACAGCAGGTGCTTGTCGCATTATGACATGCCATTTTTTTTTTTGTTTTTTTTTCACCCAATATTTTCCCACTTGAAGCTGTCTTTGCGGCACATCTTATCTGTATTCTTACAAATGTTTTCTATATATATAAATATGTCTCTTACCGATTTCAGGGCTAGCCGTGTGCTACCAGCGGCAATCCGTGAGCAACAACAATCACAATAACGCCGAGGCGAAGCCCACACACTCTCCGCCATCGCATTATCCGCACGGCCACAAATGGAATGAGCCGTACTTTGATCTCACGATGCCCAGGAACATCACATCGCTGGTGGGCAAATCCGCATATCTTGGCTGTCGCGTCAAGCATCTGGGCAATAAGACGGTGAGTGGCGGGGGGAAAACACTGGAAAAATACAATAAATAAATAGAAAAATAAATATAAGAAATGGGAGAAAAAATAAAGAAGTAAAAAGGTTTCTAAAAGTATAAAAATATATCTTATTCAACTTCCATCACTGAAAAACTCAAAAATAAATCGAAAAATATATATAAGAAATAGGGAAAAATATACAACAATTAATTTGATGAAAGAAAAATTTTATTAAAATATTTTAAAAGTATAAAAATATATTTTTTCCATCTTAAATCAATATTACATTTTTTACAGCATAATTGTACACTAATTTACTGGTGATTTTAAGCCTGAAAATATATCAGAGAGCTATAAATATTTTAAAATATAATAATGGGATTTTATAATCTTTTTTTAAATTTAAATTAAAGTCTTTTTGACAATAATTTACTTTCCTGAAATTTTTTCTTCATATTTATAAATTTATCTTGTACATCTTAAAAAAAAAATTACATTTTATACAGCTCATTTTTTGACTGTGTGGTAAATACAAATCAGGAGAGTTTTCAAAGATCTATAAATATTTTAAAATATAAATAAAATATTAAAAAAAATTTTTTTTTAGCTTTGAATATAATTTTCATCCCCGAGAAATCTTTATATTTCTACAATTTCCCTCAGTGCAAAAAAAAAAAGAAAGTCAAATAGGGAGACAACAGCCGAAAACATTTCGTATTAATAATCTTGATTTTTATTTACATTTAATAAACAAAGCGCCCCGGAAATGGGGCTGCCGCAAGTGTGGCGAATGTGTCACCAAATATCCACTTGGATATGGCCAAGACACAGAGGACAGTGAGCCGGGTTATTAAATTTGCTGCCAGTTTATTATGTAATACGTGACAGCAGACGCACACACACATGCTGACCACTTGTCTATGAGCGACCCTTTCTCACTCCTCCATTTTTTTTTGGCGATGGCGTCACTTGATCCCTCGACCCAATTAAAGTCTCCCTTTCCTAGCCTCAAGTTCTGCGAAAAAGTGTTGCATTTCAACGATCAAAATTAAATTGGTTGCCATAACAAATAATAAAGGGGGATTGCGAGTCAATTTGCCGCAGACACAATGCGGAAATATTTTGCACGCATTTGCCAAAAAATATATGTATATGGATATTCTGGTTGCCCATTTGGCCGCCCAGGAATGGCAGCAGCAGCTGGGAAAGTTTGCAGGTGTTGGCAGGCCCGAAAACGTTGATTACGTTAAGCGATTTGGCCACGGTCACGGGCTCTCTAGTCCCTGCTACTGCGGAGGGGTCATAGATTTCCTCTTGGCCAAATCCGCTTCCGCAATCAGTAAACTACACACAGACACACACGGTCCCTAGTTAACCAGCCTGGGCCCGGGCTCGAGCTCGGTTTTTGGCCAACAGTAAATTTATGGCCAGGCTAAAGTTTACTTTCCCCATTTTTTTCGCCTTTTTTTTTGGATTTTCTCTTTTTTTTAAGGGGTACTCTTTGAGAAGAAGGGTATATTGAATCCTGATAGGTTTAGACTTAAATAAATAATAATATGAAAAAGATCATTCACCTTTAGAAAGGGTTTTTGAACTGTTTTATTATATGTAAAATATTTATATGCTTCATCCAAAAAGTAGGCTATGCTTTTCCTTATCCCTTGCTGGGTATTTAATAGTCTAAGCTTTTTTATTAGTTTCTTTCTGCTGCCAATGCAGAATTAGACATTCGGGCAGGCAGGAAAGTGGAACTGCACAGATGGATGCCACACAGTTGGCTGACTCTGACTCCGACTACGCCTGTCTGTCTGTCTGTCTGTCTGTAGGTCGGTGTGTGTTATTGGTTAGACAGTTAGCCGCATAAACAAGGAGCCTTTGCTTCCAGAAAAAAATACTACAAAAATACAACAAAAACAAACCCAAAAAAATTTGTATCAAATGTAGTGGGCAATGTCGAGTGAATGTCGCTCTGCAGAGAGCCGGAAAATGGTCAGAAGATGTCAAGGTGCGGGGAGTATCATTTTCCGGGTCTGTCATGCGTTCCGCACACTAATTTCGACTTGTATGAAAATTCTATCCGAGAGCTGCATAAATTGTGTGGTTTCCTGGTCTCTTTAAAGTCCTTTCAAGAGGGTATTAATGTGTACTGGTTGTGTGTCTCTCTCTGCAGGTTGCCTGGATACGACACCGTGACCTGCACATCCTCACCGTGGGCACGTACACCTACACAACGGATCAGCGGTTCCAGACCTCCTATCACCGGGACATTGACGAGTGGACCCTGCAGATCAAGTGGGCCCAGCAAAGGGATGCCGGGGTGTACGAGTGCCAAATATCCACGCAGCCGGTGCGAAGTTATTCGGTTAATTTGAATATCGTGGGTGAGTATAAATAATTATTATAATAATAATAATAATATAATTAAGATTTTTAGGATGATTTATGGTATATAGTTTACTCTAGAATATAAATAAGTTTGTTGAGATTTTAATCGGGGAGTTTTACTATAAGAAAACCAGCTCAAAACAATTTTTAAAATATTTTAAATATAAATATTTTATTTCTAAGGGAAATATCTTAAGATAAGAAACCCTAAAAGTTACTAAATTTATAGAAATATAAAAGAAATATCATAAGAAAACATAAATATTTCTTCCTTATTCATAAAAAAGAACCCATTTCAGTCGAAAACACTTGCAGAATATTAAGTACTATATAGGATATCAGTGGGTATCTTTAACACAAAAATCACGTTGTCAGAGTTATGACTTTCTTTTGGTAATTGAGAGATATGCGTGGAATAAATAAAATCTTGCTTACTGGAGTTTTTATATAAAATATTGCTCAAAATAAATTTAATAAAATTACATAAAGTTAAATTTTTGAGTAGGAGTTCCCTTTGCCTGCGTCCTCGAAGGAATTCAGATCGACAGGACCCCCGTTCGGTTGGGGAATTTCACATATTTCCTCTCTGTATCATTCTTGCATATTCATGCAATTTCCAAGCGTGTAAATTATGCACACTTGGCAATCGTCGCAGCAGGATATAAAAACAGGACGCGACTTTGCCGGTAAATATGGCAGAGGAATTTTCAAAAAATTCCTTCAGACAGATTGATGGACTGAAGGGAGTTGGCACAAAAAAGAAAGAACCCCCCAGCTTAACGTGCACATAAACGGATATCAACATTTATATATACAACATATATATACAAGAGGAATTAAGTTGTAGATAACTGGGAAAATAAACTGCGGCGGTCATAAATTTATACAACATTCATTTCTCTTTAATCCAGGGGGTCCACAAAACGTATTTGTATTGTGGCCCGAATTATTTTTATGGTTTTTCTAAATCAAACAAACAAGCTAACAAGCCCCTCTCAATCCAGTCCGGGGAGTGGAAAAAGCCAGAATAACAAATTTGAAATCGTGATTGGAAAAACAATTTGATGAAATAAAACTTAAAGTTTTTCTCTCTTAAAATAATAGCCATCGAATTACGAATGAATTATTTATTGAGCCTCTGCTAGGCCACCGAAATTTATATGGCGTGTCGCAATCTATTTTCGGCTGTGTACTTTAGTTAATTAGTTTAGCCCGGGTTTTATTATAATTATTTGAATGATTTTCTATTTTGGTATCACATTTTGTTTGCTTTATTTCTGTCTTTTGTTTATGTTTTTGGTTTGCCCCCACCACAACCACCACCGACACCACCATCAGATCTGATTGACGCCGAGACGAGTAACATGATGCAGCAGTATTATAATGACGACGCCTTCTATATAGCCGCCGATCGGGTGTACCAGTCCAGCGATGACGAGTTTGCCGGAATGTTTGGCCCCATTCAGACAGTGGCTGGTTAGTGTGAGATATGAATTGGTGAGGCGTTGGTGAATTGTTGATTTCCAGCGTTGCATACTTTTTGGCTGAGTGACAAGACTAACCACAAAAAAAAATATATATTAAAAAACCAGAAGGAAACCAGAGAGATGAGAGGTGTTCTGGAGGGCTGCCATGCATGCATATTATTTTTTAATATTTTACAGCATTCCTGGTTCCTGGTGTGTGTGTGTTTGTGGAGTCAAGTGCGGGGCGCCCCGGGGCAAGCACTTTTCTGGCTCATGACGAACAAATTGCTTTCCAACAAGCTTTTACCCACTAACTTTGCCAGCTTGTTACGGTTACTGTTACGTCTCCCCACCTATTATTTCCTACCTTTTTTCGCAATTTTTTGTTCACTTTTCCTCTCCCGGTGGTGCTGGCGTTGGAAAATTGCTAGACTTTAACTAAGAGATAGAGTTGTTTTGGAAATTGCTATAATTATGGAAGGAAACTAAACCTGATCATAGAATTTAATTTAAGGGAAAAGGTAAGGTTTGAAATTGCAACCTAATTAATTATATTGTTAAACTAAACTTTGCATAAACTTATAAACTAATTGTAATTTGTGGTGTTTAATGTTCAGTTTGTATATTTATCTAATACCTTAATTTGATCATGATTTTTATCAAGGTTACTTTATATTTATTTTACAAGGTATTTTAGATAGAAACTCTAACCAAAGTAGCCAAACTTTCATCTCTACCTTTTCGCTCTTATTGCCCAAGTGCTGCCGCACATTTAATTATACCCAAAGCCTTTGCAATATTTATTTTTCCGGCTCTCAGACTCAGTGATTTAGGGGTAGGGTCTTGCACAGGTTTGGGTACCCCTGGCTTTTCCCATGGGCACACAGACTGACATTGAAGCTGCCCGGCTCGTAGAGCGTTCCATGCGGCGGAGGTCCTGCGCTGTAGTAGCAGACGAGGGCAAAGTGGACATTCCACAGGTCGTAGTCCTGGCCGGCGGCACAGCCCATGTGGGTGCAGCGATCGGTGATGATGTTGGCAATGTTATCGCCCGCCATTTCCGAGTCTAAAGCCTGCAGTTCGTAGATCTCGTCCATCCACTCTTCAATGAGACCCGTCAACGGGCGAACATTAGACTGCCGCTTATGGGGTCGGGGGAAGAAGTCTTCTCCATAGTTGGAACGGGGTTGGGGAAAGTCATCGGTGGCCACGCAGGAGTTGGTAGGCAGATGCATCTGGCAGCTTTTTAGATGATACTCGGCCAGCAGGGCCAGATAGTCGTCCCAGACCAGCTCGGGCATCTTCTGGGCCGTGGGTAGGTGGTTCAACCGCCCGCTGGCCACATCCTGGCGGTACTTGTTGTGCTCGGTCAGCAGGTACTGACGGAAGCTCTGCATGTTAACCAGGCCATTGAAGCGCAGGCACTTGTCCACATTGAAAATCTGCCGGAAACCCAGGTGGGAATTAGGTTGCTTGGCTAGCCACCTCCTAATGATCTTCCTTACCAGGCTGTTGTTGCATCCAATGTGTGTCTTTTCCTGGCAGGACGGAATGTCACAGAAATCTATGGCCCGGCACGTTCTCAGCCTCAAGAGCAGGCCGAGGAGGCTGAGGCAAAAGAACACCTGATATTGTTGCATTTCCATTTGGTACTGAAAACTACCTGGGAAACGTGCGTTGAGTAATCCGGGTTATGCGGAAAAACAGCTGCAGACTAAATGAACTGTGTACACTCAAGGTGAGAGTTGTATTTCCCCTTGAGAACTCAACAGTAAACAAAAATGTCAAGGAAAAGAGTGTATATTTAAAGATTAAGGTAACAAATTAGAGACAAAGGCAGGTAATTCGTGACTAACTTGATTGAATTATCTAAAATATTACTAAAGGTTGTTCTAAATTTATTAAATACTAACTAAAATAACTCTTGAGAGATATTAAATCCCTTTAAAAAGCGTCGAAAAGTATGCAAAGGTTCAACACAAACTATTAGCCACCTAACAAAATGTCTCTAAAAACTCCTTAATAATTTTATTTACTAAAGAAAACACCATTAATATACATCTTAAACTAACAAAAAAGCAAGCAAAATGTTATGAGCCCATTAAATTATAGAAACGCCTCTAAAGCTGGCCAGAATTGAGCCATAACCCATCTTGAAATCACTCTCAACTTTGTGCAGCCTTGTCGCTTCCAAAAACTTTCCATTCTCCGGCGGGCTGACAGGCCCTAATCGATTATTTAACGTGCTGACTTTGACTGGCACAGCATTTCCCACATCGAACACGAGCCTCTGGACTCTGGGCTATGGAAATTTCCAACAATCGAGACGGCTGGACACCGGATGGGCCTGATCAAAAATCGTGGGAGTGGGTGTGGTAGTGGCCGGGAGGAGGAGGCTTGTGGCACGGGTACATGTCACTGGTCGCCCCGGCCGATGTGCGGGAAATTGGGAAAACAAACAATTTTGGAATTTCACAACTCGACAGAGGCGAGAGGGACAGCGTTCGCTGCTGCTGCTGCGAATGGCGCTGATTAGGCGACGTAACCGAGTGATTAGCAGAGCTCGAAACTGTCGGATGTATAAAGGGAATGGGGAAATGGGGGATGCACTGCATAATGGATGGCATAACCGGAGCTTCACTGTAATAAAGCGCCACATCCTCCTCTCTATCTCTCTGCAGTGCCCACGGCCACCATTTTGGGAGGTCCTGATTTATACGTGGACAAGGGCAGCACTATAAATCTCACTTGCATCATCAAGTTCAGCCCGGAGCCGCCGACCCATATCTTCTGGTATCATCAGGATAAGGTAAATATCCCTTAAAATCAATTTACAGTGCACGGGAGACGAAAAAATAACTCCTGCGGGCGAGGGGAAAAACCAATTTAAGGTTTTCCTTTTTGGTGCCAAATTATCTTGCAATAATTGAGTTTGTGCGCAGTAAAAAGCGCAAAAAGCCGGGGAGACGAAGTAGCAGGAGGAGGAGGAGCAATAGGGGCGGGCCACGCCCAGCCAATTGCTGCAGGATAAACGTTTTTAACTTTTATGAGCTCTGGGCTGGCGCCTCTCAAGTATGAGGGCGTTCGAAAACAGTGAAAGAAATATTTAAAATTAAAAACTAGCTTTGAAAATTTCTGTTAAATAAAATATCTTAAGAATCTGTTTTTAAATTGAATATTATTAAATTAAAAATATATTTTTTATATTTTTTTGTAACTCTAGAATAAGTTACTGTCTTTTTCCAGTGTTTCAGTCTGAGTTTGTTTCGCGTTTGTTTACGCGTCGTATACGTAACGTATTTAATTTTGGCTTTTATGCTTATGAGAAAACATGCTTTTGCATTTAGCTTAGCCCCTGCCTCCTCGCTCTCCGTTTGGGTTTTGGGTTTCAACTTTTTTGCAACAAGGGAAAATCGCTTTTAATATGACAACCTCGGCCGCCTGGCGCTTGCCGCTTTTCCTTCTGATTTTCCCCTCTACGCAGGTGCTCAGCGAGGAAACCTCCGGCGGTCGGCTGAAATTCAAAACCATCAAGTCGGAGGAGACCAAGTCCATTCTGCTCATCTACGACGCGGATCTCCTGCACTCTGGCAAATACTCGTGCTATCCATCGAACACGGAGATAGCCAGCATACGCGTCCATGTCCTTCAGGGTGAGTTTTCATGGCATTTCCTTGGCATTTCCTTCTCATGTTCGTTATTTTTTGTTGCTTTTCCTTTTGTGGCTATAGAGTCGAGCCGCCTTAATTGGATGCTCAAGTTTTGATAATGTGAATTATACATTCATGCATCTGCTTGACCTCGATTTGTATGCATTAAACTTGCAGCTCTCGCTGGCTCTTTGTTGGCCAAACTTTGAAGCAATTTATGAACTAGTGGTCAGAAGGACACTGGGGGAAATATGTTTCAGATTTGAGAGAGAATTTATTATTGGAAAATTGAATAATTTTATTTTTAAGTATTTCATTTACGTTTTAGTTTTTCTCTTTAAAGGTATTAACTAAGTTTAGAGTCTTTTAATATTTTAAATTAAATATATAAAAATATAATTATTTATTTTTCTAATGCTAACATTAATTTCCTTGCTAAAGTCAAGTCTGATTTATTGAAAATTCTTTAAAACCCTTAAAAGCAAATTAAAAATCTCTTAAATTGTATTAAAAAACCCACCTTAAGTCCCTGCTTTTACCTCCACTTTATTTTCTGAATGTAAAAGCCCTTATTGTGACGGCGACAAACTACAAATTGCTACTCATTCATGTCAAATCTGCGGCCATCTTTTTCACCTCTGTCTCTGCTTTTCCATTTTCCTTTCCTGCTTTTCCCCTCACAGGCGAGCGACCGGAGGCGATGCAAACGAACGCGGCGCCGGCAGCCGTTGCCTTGGCGTCCTGTTGGTCCTGTCAGGCGGTCAGGGTAATTAGCACAATGGTGGCGGCCCTCGTATTGTTGGAGGCCTGCTCCACGCTGCTCCTGCAGGGATGTGGAGGTGGAGGAGGTCGTCAGGAAGACAGGCTGCGACCAAGTGACCCCAAGGAGCCGCAACCCAACTGCGTACCCTCCTCCTCCTCCACCTCCTCCTCGGTCGTCGGTGTCAATAATGGCAGCCGGATTGCACGGTGATAAATTAATGTCGCCCTGCTGGAATTCCACCGCCAATGCAGCTGCAGCCCCCAAAATGCAGCACAAATGATTTATAGCCCAAGTTAAGAGGGGGGAAGGCAGCTAGCCACCTTTCCGGTAAAAAATACCAACTAATTATGCTAACGAAGGGGAGAGAGGAAGCTGCTGCTCCGTCTGCTGCTGCTGTGCTGCTCCCTCGTAAGTTGTAAGTAAGCGTGTTTCTAATTAAGTGGGCTGGGGATTAGTTAGTTAGGCGGAAATCAGAGCCATGTACATAAACTTCTCACGTAAATTGCGCCCGGCTCAGTGGCGAACTTGGCTAACTGGAGGGCGCTTTCAAGGAATCATCAAGTTGAAGGAGAACTATACTCGAGTGGTTTGCTGCTAGAGCCAGGCCTAGTTGGTTAACAAAATATTGAAATTTAAAGTGTAAAAGGGGAGTAGGAAAATACCTGTAGATTTTAAAGCAATTATTTATGCAAGGAAATAATTTATTCCGGAGGGTAAAGCCAGGAAGATGATTCCACAAAACCCGTTTGTATATAAAGGACTCTTTAAATAATATTTTAAAATCTCCAGATATTTCCTAAATCCTCCTCTTAGCCTAGCAAAATAGTTATATTATGTAGCGAAAGTTTACTCAGATTGTTGTACATATTAAGGATTCGTGTGTTTGTCCTGTATAGCCTAGAGCCTAAGCCTTGTAAATATACCTAACCCGTTTCCAAACGAACTTCTTTGAAGGTTCCTAAACAAATTTTTAACACTTTGCCTTGAGAAATTCCAGTCAGAAACGAGCCAACAACAATTTATTTAAAAGTATTTTTTCCCCCAAGTCATGTGGTGGCAGTTCCTGTTTTCCGAAATGGGTTCGATGCTCCTAGGGAAATTTAGAGCTACCATTTCGGCATGTCCGGTTGCATTTCCCCCACTCCTCCTGAAACCCATTTTCCCCAACTGGCAAGTCACTTTTCACTCTTGTCAACAAAATATTTGCATTTCCATGTGCCGGGCCAGGACTACGACTCTTTCGTCCTGTGCCACATTTAAAAATGTATGGCCACTGTCTGGTGGGGGGGCCCAGAGTTTAACTGATCAAAATTGTAAATAAACCAGCATATATGCCATATGAATAAACTATAACAAGTACTCGAGTATTTATGTGGTAGTCATGAACATTTATAGGCATTTATATATATAAAAATATATATATATATATATATATATATGGTATATTTAGAGTGTACGTATCGATATTAAAAATGTAAACCGAACGCATGCAAAATTAGTCGCGTCATGTAAATGAATGTTTAATGGGTAAAATAATGTTGCTGTAAAACGAAACACACACACACACAAAACCATGGAAATAATTGCAGTTAAGCAAATAAAATAATATATGTTATAAGCATAAAATAGCAAGTAATATTCATATAACAAAAGCCGTAAAGCAGCAAACTTTGTTGACTTTTGTTGCAAACAAAAGTGGCAGCAAAACATAACACACACCTACACACAAACGCATTATAAAGATTATGAAATTGTTTTTAATTTTTAAGCAAGGTAGCGTAACGTAAATATGGAAATCGGTATGGAAATTTTCAATAAACGTTTTTTTAGTTACTACCATCAAATGATATAAATATGTATAACAAAAGCCGTTGTTTTCTTTGATTTTGGTGTGGGTTTTTCAGGGTTTTTTAGGGGGAAAATTGAGCAGCAGAGCGACCGCATGCTGAGCGAATCCCGGCAAGATTTATGCAAATATTTTCCATTGCCATTCATGCATTTAGCCAGGGAATTTTAATGGGCCACACAAACACCAGCACACAGACAAAGGAATGGAGGAGGAGGAGGAGGAGGAGGAGGCAGGAGTCCCCCTGGGAGATTGCAAGTTTCTTTGCTTTTTTTTTTCGGGGGGCCGAAGACGGCAGCATATTCCATTTTCCATTTTTCAGCCTAATAAAGCCGCAATGCAAAGGCCGGAAAACTGACGGCAAGAAGAATGGGCATTAAGTGCCTGGCTGGCAGCTGTCCCTACGAAGCCTACGATTTTAAGCACTGAGAAAAATCGAGGAAAGTAAGGGGTACTTTCTGGAGAGAAGGAGCTTGAACTTAGGTCATAACTAGGAATAAATATAAATATTTTACTATTATTAAAAAATATATAGAAAATATTTAAAACATAAACAAATTTAAAAAAATATATATATAAATTATATATAAAATATATAAAATATATACAAAATATACAAACTATAAAATATATAAAAAATATATATAAAATATATAAAATATATAGATGAAGACTTTACCTTTATCATTAAATTATCTATTTTAATTTTCTTGAGGTAAGAATAATAAATAAATACTAATTTAAAAGGCAAGTAAAATATATTTAAGAAAATATAAATATAATTTAATATTTATTTTCTTTATTTTATGATATTATTTTTCTTAAAATTATATTAAAAGTTGACCACTGGACATTCCTTTCAAATTTATGAACCTTTTCTCATCGTGCAATACGCTTAGCATTGGGCCATGTGTGGTAGGACTCTGTTTGCGCTTTGGTAAGACATCAAAAGCCGTTAACATAAAAGTTTATTATATGACAAGTAAGTATGTATCTGTATATGTGTGTGTGTGCCTTGGCACGGGCAAATAGCGGTAATATCATGCCAAAAAGTTTAATAGCGCACAACCTCCCACTTTTCTCGCTTTTCCTCCCCGCTCCAAACCATGAAGCCGAATTGAGTGGAAAGCGTAAGGAGCGAATAAGACGCATAAGGCACATGAAGCGGAAAGCGGAAAGCCCCTCCTATACCCGCTTTTCCGCCGGAAAGAAAGTATTACCCAAGATGATGAAGACGGTGATTGGAATACTCTGGTTACGGGGACTACATGTATGCAAGATGGATGGACTACATAAGAAGCTAAAACTGCGGATTGTCACAGGAAGCTTTAAAATGGGTTGAGGAAAAAAAACAAGGCAATAAAAAAGTAACTAGGGTTTATTTTAAATAAATAAAATGTTTCAAGAGTTCTTTTAAATATTTTCTACGAAATAAATAACACAACAAATATATTTAGAAAATCCTAAAAAATGGGTAATACAACTTCAAGGCAATAAAAAGTAACAAGAATTTATTGTAAATAAATATAATGATTAAAGAGTTATTTTAAAATACTTTCTAAAGAATAATTTACTTAGAAATATATATTTTAAAAATCCCAAAATTATTTGTAATATAACTTTTGACATCTCTGACACTTTCTTATAATTCCCTTGTACCAAAAAGTGTCACTCAAGTCGCAGCGAAATTCTCTGGACTCCATATCTGCGGGCCAAAAGCAATTGTCGGGATATTACCTTTAATTGCGCATAGCTCAGGTCACAGCTGTCCGGATGAAAGCCGGAATGCCCGGGGAATGTGGCGCAGTTGGGCAAAAGGACACACACACACACACACACAGAGTCCGAGGCAATCGACAAAAGGGAAAATAAATTATCATCATTGTGACATTTTCATTTGTCAACGTAATTTTCCCTGTGTGCCGCATTCCTGCGCCGCCTAAAAGCACACTACACTACACACCCGAGGCAGGAGGCAGGATCAGCGTTAACGTTAACGTTCGTAAAAAAGTCTGGCAATTTGGCAAGGAATTTCACTTCACTTTGAGTCTCGAAAAAAAACGGGAGAGCAAACACGTTTGCCTTTTATGTGTGTCCTTATTATGAGACCCCGTACATTTTTAATGCGAAATATGATTTGATTTTATTTGACTCTGTCGCAAACATTTATTTGTCTGCAGACACACGGCCAAGAGTTGCAATTTAAATTCGCATATTGAACGTAAATCAAATGTCTAAGGCTTCAAATGCAAAACGGCAACGAGGCTGTGCCCCTGTCTCTGTGTGTGTGTCTTTGGCAAAATCCAGTACATAATTTATTGACATGACTGCGAGTCCTGGCAGGACCAAAGCCATGTCAGGCATTGCCGAATATTGTCCTCCAGCTGCCAAACGGAATATCGTACATTATTTTCCTGATCCAAACCCCGCCCCATATTGGCGTGTTTGTGGCATTGTCAAAGCGAATGCCAATGGCCAATTTAAATTGCAGCAAAGTGATGCACAGTGGTCGAGCTTGTATGGAGCAGCGGCCATAAATACTTCTAGATGTGCTATCGCTATGAAACTTTCACCAAAAATCTAGAAAAATGTTTTAAGTATATCCACAAAAAATTGGCCATATTGCTCGACTATATCATATAGCTGCCATAGGAACAATCTGTTAAAAATCCATACTTAATATGAAAAACTTTTTTGTTTTTCAAGATATCTTAACCAATTTCACAGATTATATGTTTGGTACAGGTTTATGCATTCTTACCAAATTTGGTTAAAATCGGATCTCTATATCTTATAGCTCCCATACAACATTTTTATAAAACTATTTTTTTCCAAGACCTAACTTTAATTTTTTAGTTTTTGATCTCTTAATGAGAACGTTGGTGAAATATAAGTGCCCAAAAGTAAAAAAAAAAATTATGCACTTATATATTGTGTGTTTATTTTGTCCAGCAACAAACTTACACAGCTTAAGGGGGGTAAGGTTAATTGGGTGCAAAACTCACTACTTTTCAAAAAAATGTTGTGGCGAAACGGCTAAAAATAGCTGAATGAATTAAATACCATATAATAACACAACATTTGAGCAATTTTTTTTTAATTTTTGTATTAAAAAATATTTACATGCTTACGAGTAATAGCGAATCTCCTGAGTCCCCACAAAAAAGTTTATTTTCGGTGTACATCCTATCCTAACTGTCCACAAAAACATCAGATATCAAAAAAATGTATTGTATTCACTAAAGGATAAGTGCTCCGAGGTACTCAGGTGACGTTTTTATTTTTAAAGTTTTTTCCCGATTTTCTATTACAACCCGGATTATTGGCTAAAAAATTAGGGTAATTTGTTTTGTAATGGCAAATTTGCAGCCGCAGGTAGCCGCAGCTAAAGTAAACATTTTTATAATCTTTAAATATCAGTTAATGACGGCACATAAATTTCATTTGGGGGCAACGGGGGAAAATACTTAAAACTTTACGTAAACCCAACATTTACGAACTAAAAAGACGCACTTTTTTAACAAAGATTTACACGAAACACAACACAAATTATATATATATTTTTCTGTACAAATAAAGTATATACCTTTATCTACCATATCCAGTCCAATTTTTTTTGGTTCAACAGCGTTTTATATTATAGTTTACATTTTTAAATTTGGTCTGTGCACTCCACTGCTGACAAATTAAAAGTGCATGAATACAAAAACGCTTTTGTCAATCTATTTTCAGAAAGTCCCGTTAGAAATTCCAAGTAGACCGTATTGCATGGTAAACTTTGGACAATCAGCTGATAGAAAAACCATGTTTCGCTTGAATAGCTCAAAATCAATTTTTTTATTTTTGGCCTATGGGCCCGACCACTGTGTGATGGCTTAAATGCACAATTCGGCCGGGTTTTCCCTTTGATTTGTTACTGGGGAAAATTCCATATAAATAAAAGTTAATGTACTTGGAGTGTTACTTAGCTTAAAATATATTCTAATTATAAGAATTAAATTTGTAAGCAATTAAAATATTAAGATATTTTTAAATATTCTTTTATTGGTTTTTTTTTAACTAAATATATTTAATAAAAATGTTTAACTAATTTATATTTGGTTTTTTAAAGCTAATATAATTATTTTTTAATATTAAGATATTTTTTAGTATTTTATTATAGCTTTTTTTGCTAAATTTATTTATTAAAAATGTTTAAGTATTTTATATTTAATATTTTTTTAACTATAATAATTAATTTCAATGTTAAGATATTTTTAAGTATTTTATTATTGGTTTTTAGGATGCAATTATATTTATTAAAATTTTAAATTAATAATAAAAATTGAATTAATAAAAATACAATAAAATATATATTTAAAAGTATTTTATTATTTATTTTTTTAACTTTAAATATTCATTAAAAATTGAAACTCCCCTTGAAGCAATTCAACTGCTTTTCCTTTTGCGCTCCCAACAAGTTTTCTCTTCCTTTTCCATAGTTTTGTGTGAGTTTACAAACTTTACCGCCCCCGAAGCCCAGGAAAACAACACTTTTCCCCCCCATTAGTGCTCAACATACAC